TAGTATTTTTTGGGTAATTAAAGATTGATGTGTTTTGCTTTGTTGGTGTAATTTTGGAGGAGCTTGTCTTAGTTCTATGCATTGAAAAAGAGTCTTTTATAAAATTTTATTAGTGAATTAAATAAAATAATATAAATTATAATGATGTGCTATGAGAAGAAACTCAAATGAGTTAAACATGGTAGATGTTCTAATTTCGAAATTTATATTTATGCTTCCAATTAATCTGTGTTTTTACAAATCTTCTTACAACTCTCCACAAAATATGGAATTTTAATTTTATTTCACAAGATTTTAGAGTAAAGATGCAAATAAAAATTCGAACTTTACACTTTGTTTTATTTAAGGATGTTAACTGTGTCATTTTCAAAATAATGATGTTAACTTTCAATTTTTTTCTATTTAAGGACGTTAACTTTTAACTTTTTCTATTTAAGGATGTCAAATTTTAATTTTTCTATTTAAGGATTAATTGGTTGTGATGTAGACGTTAGCTAACATATTTTTTAGGTTAAATATCTGAATTGGTCCCTCAACTTTTATTTTTTAACCAATTCATCCTTAAACTTCAAAAAGTACTAAAAACATCCTTCAACTTTAATTTTTAATTTCATCTTTCCGTCACTTAAATGTTAATGTAGCTAATTTTTTCGCTAAGTGATTGACTATTTTACATTTTCAATATTAGGTGGAAAATCCATCATGTAAAAAATCATTATGTGGATTTTTTTAATTTTAAATAATTTAAAAATTATTTTAATTCTTAATTTTACTTTATTTATATTTAAAAATTAAAACAATTAATATTTTTTTCCATTTAATTAGCCCCACCTATCATTTAATAAAATTAAACAAAAGTTAATTTCTTCCATGAATTAAGAAATAATTTTATTAATTGAAAATTGAAGTTGAAGGACGTTTTCGATATTTTTTGAAGTTCAAGGATGAATTGGTTAAAAAATAAAAGTTGAGGGACCAATTTAGGTATTTAACTTAAAAAAATATGTTAGCAGATGTCAACATCACCACCAATTAATCTTTAAATAGAAAAAATTGAAAGTTGACATCCTAAATAGAAAAAGTTGAAAGTTGATATTTTTAAATAGAAAATAATTGGAAGTTAACATCCTTAAATAGAAAAAAATGTAAAGTTAGAATCCTTATTTGCACATTTATTCCAAGATTTTATATTAGAAATGTGTTTCATATTAATTTTCTCCAAATAATAATCGGTTTGTATATATTTTGTTGAACTTTTTCATACAATTTCAATACGTACTTAAGTTACCCCTCTCATTGTTTATTCTTGTTCATTTCTACAGAGTTTTCCACACAATGGAAGTAGGAGCTGCTCTTGTAGCTTCTGCCGTTGAATGGTTAATCGATAAGTTGAAGTCCGAGGTCACTGATTGGTTTGAATCAAGAAAGGAGGCACGTGATGCATTAGAGAATTGGAAAGACCTTTTGCCAAACATACGTGATGTTCTTGAAGATGCAGAGACGAAGCAATTAACCAATAATGCTGTAAAGACATGGCTTTCAGAGCTTAGAGACATAGCTTATGATATGGAAGATATCCTGCGCGGAGATGAAGCTGATGCGCAGAGGCAAAAATTGAATTTAAAAACTTGTGATCAAGCCAGAACCAATAGAGTCAGAAAACTTATCCCAACACTATCATGTGATTTCAAGGTTGATCGGGAGACTATGTCCAAGATAAAGGGCATTACTGACAGATTGAAAAACATCAAGGCACGGAGAGATGCATTGGACCTAAAAATTGAACATGGGACCAACAGAGCAGTTACACAAAGGATTCTCACTACTGGGGTGCCTGAAAGTCATTTTTTTGGTCGGGAAAAGGATAAGGATGCTATTCTTCGAAAGTTGTCAATTAATGAAGATAATACCAAATGCTTTTCTGTGATTCCCATCGTTGGAATGGGAGGATTAGGGAAGACTACACTTGCTAGTCTTGTTTATAATGATGAAGAATTGAAAGTTGTGTTTGGGCCAAAAGCATGGGTTTGTGTCTCTAACGAATTTGATGATCTTCGAATAGCAATATCTATTTTGGATCAACTGAACGTGAAATCTGATTCAAAAGATCCAGCAGTGATTCACAGCAAGCTGAAAGAAATGTTGTCTGGACAGAAGTTTTTACTTGTACTTGATGATGTTTGGAACAACAACTATCACCTCTGGAGCAGATTGCAAGGGCTTTTCATGTCAGGAGCACCCGGAAGCAAAATAATTGTTACGACACGCGACGAGAAAGTCGCGAGAAGCATGAGAGGAGATGGTTGGGCTTATCATCTTGATTTGTTTCCAGATAATGAGTGTTTGTCATTATTGGCCAAACATGCACTAGAAACAGAAAATTTTGATTCATATGGGCATCTCAAAGGAATTGGTGAAGAAATAGTGAAAAAATGCAAAGGTTTGCCTTTGGCTATAACAACCATTGGAGGGCTCCTTCGTGGAGATCAGTTAAATCCTAACAAATGGAGGGCAGTACTAAACAATGAGATATGGAAAGTATCAGAAGAGATAGGTGGAGTTCTTCCAGCTTTGAGATTGAGCTATCATCATCTTCCTTCTCATTTAAAACAATGCTTCGCCTTTTGTGCTATATTTCCGAATGATTTTGAGCTCGATGAGAATGATTTGGTCCTATTGTGGATGGCGCAGGGGTTTCTTCGACAACATCAACAGATAGATGGAGTGAAGGAAATGAAAAGCTTGGGTCATCAATACTTCTGTGATTTGTTATTGAGATCATTTTTTCAGCGACCACGTAGCAATTCATCACTCTTTGTCATGCATGACCTTGTGATTGAGTTAGCTCGAGATGTTGCATCAGAAACTTGCTACCAACTGGATATGTCAGTCAACAAGAAACTAGATGTCACTCGCCATTTTTCATTCTCTCGTGGTGAGTTTGATACTTATCAAAGATTTGAAATGATGGAGAAAATGAAGAGTTTGCGGACATTTCTGCCAACTATTGGACGATATAGATCAAACTACTTATCAAATAAAGTGGTGCATTATTTGTTTTCAAACTTGAGATGCTTAAGGGTCTTGTCTTTCAATGGTTATCTCATAAAGAAGGTTCCAGATTCAATTGGAGATTTGAAGCTTTTATGCTATATTAATTTATCTGGCACTGCAATCCAAAGTCTACCTGATTCTGTGAGTTTTCTTGTATACTTACAAACATTGATATTAAGAAGTTGTGGCATGCTTACTCAGTTGCCAGAGGGTATCGTGAATTTAGTTGACTTGCTTCATCTTGACATTGCTCATACAACAAGATTAAAGGAGTTACCGTCAGGAATTGGCAAGCTGACAAATCTTTTGACTCTACCCAAATTTGTTATTGGAGGTGGGCTGAGACTAGGAGAGTTGAAAAACTTGAAGCAACTTCAAGGTGATCTACTCATCTCAAATCTACATAAAGTCTCAGATTTTCGAGATGCTAGTGAAGCCAACCTTCATGCGATTGAGGGCCTTGATGAGTTAATCTTGCAATGGACTGGCGATTTTCAAACTTCACGAAATGTAAGCAATGAAAATAAGGTACTCTGTCGGTTGAAACCTCATTGCAATTTGAAGAGGTTTACAATCGAGTTCTTTGGTGGACTGGAATTTCCATCTTGGATAGGTGATCCATCATTCTTCAAATTGGAGTACCTGAAACTATGTGATTGTCAAAACATCACTTTATTACCACCCCTTGGGCAATTACCATTGCTAAAGAAATTGATCATAAGAGGCATGCCTGAGTTTACTGGAAATAACTCCTTTTCTGGTAGTTTTTCATCACTAGAGAAGCTGACATTGGAGGACTGTCCCAAGTTGATTGGAAAATTACCTAGCCACCTTCCTTTTCTCAAAATTCTCATGATTAGAAATTGTCCTCAATTAAGTTATTCACTACTGAGTCTCCCATCACTAGAGAAGCTGACATTGTTGGACTGTCCCAAGTTGATTGGAAAATTACCTAGCCACCTTCCTTTTCTCAAAGTTCTCATGATTAGAGATTGTCCTCAATTAAGTTTTTCACTACTGAGTCTCCCATCACTTGGAGAGTTGAAAATAACAGGTTGCAGTGAGGCAATTCTTAGGAATATGAGGGATGTCACTTGCCTCACCTCTTTGCAGATTAATAGAATTCCAAAACTTGCCTGCTTGCATAAAAGCATAACACAGTTCTTGACAGTTGTTGAAACAGTAGACATTGAAGAATGTGATGAACTTACTTGCTTGTGGGAGGATGGAGCTAGCCTTGCCAGTCTTAAGTGTCTGAGGGTTTAGGAGTGCCCTCTACTTGATTGCCTGCCTAATGGACTGCATGCTCTCACTTGCCTTAAGGAATTGTCCATACAAAATTGCAAAAAAATTGTGCGCTTTCCAGTAACTGGCTTGCCATTGCATCTCAAGAAGCTTCAACTTGAGGATTTGGTGGTTTTGGAGTCATTGCCTGATGGATTGATGAAAATAGGGGATGGAGGCAACAATATGCTTCAACTTGAAGAATTAGTCATTAAAGGATGTGAGCAGCTCAAATCTTTTCCCAGAGACAAGTTACCCAGCACTCTGAAAATGCTGAAAATCAAAAATTGTGAAAATTTAGAGTCCTTACCAGAGGTAGTGAATCTTGAACATTTGCAGGTTAACAATCTCCCATCTCTGAAGTGTTTTCCTAGCTCCAAGTTACCAAGTGCTCTTAAGAGGCTGAAAATTAAGGAGTGCCAGCAACTGGAGTCACTTCCAGACAGGTTGCTACAGGATTGTACACAACTTGAAGAGATGCAGATTAAGGATGTGGAAAATCTCAGAAGCTTACCTATTGATTTCATGCACAACCTCAGCGGTCTTGTTGAATTAGAGTTAAATTCTTGTGAAGGTTTCAAGTCCTTGCCAGAAATGGACCTGTCGTCCATCCCCAAACTTAAAACTTTGAAGATTCAGAATTTGGAGAATCTCAAGTCTTTACCCAATAAGATGTGGAACCTCACATCCATCCAATGTTTAATTATATGGCATTGTCCAGGTGTCACATCCATACCGGAAGGAGGTTTTCCTTTAAACCTAAAAACACTTAAAATCGTTGGTGAAGGCTTGAGCCAGTCGATGTTAGAGTGGGGCCTTGACAGACTTACCTCACTTGAATCATTCGAAATTGGGGAGATATGTCCTCCGAATAATTTGCAGCTTCCGAAGTCTCTAAAAAGTCTTACTATACAGTGGAGTAATTTGAAATCCATACCAAAAGTCCTCCTTCAAAACCTCCATTCTCTCGAGAATTTATATTTTAATTGTTGCCCAGAGCTTCAATCCTTGCCTACGGAAGGCCTACCCACCTCACTTCAATGGTTCGTGCTCTCTCATTGTCCCCTTCTGAAAGAATGGTGGTTGAAGGAGAAAGAAGACTATTGGTCTCTCATAGCCAACATCCCTTACGTTGACTTTTATCCCTAAATAAGAGTCAGGTACCAGTAACCTATTCACAAATTCACCATATTCTTGAAAAAATCATATTTTGTTTGTTTTCGATGCAATTTATATGTCAATTTGGTGCAGGTCTCGTAGTTGGTAAGGAGTTTTCTGTCATGCTTCAATCTTAACCTATTCATGGTCCATTTGTTTGCAAAAACAAATTTGTATTTTGAGAAAAGATGTTTGATATGGATTCTACTAGATTCTGGTGTATCTGTTGAAGTGTAACTTGGATGATTCAGCTTTCTGATATGTGGGGTTGGCCGTTGGTGTTATGAGGGGTATGTTCTCCATCCAAACCAATTGGAATACCATCTATTCTAATTAGCTAGCTGATTGCTTGTTATCTTGGTTATACAAAGTTAATTTCACATCAATGAAGAGGATGATGCATTCCCTTGATTGATATATATATATATATATATGGAAGCTATTGATTTTGGTTTCATTTCTTTTCCTTTCTTTCCATTATATACATCCAACATTTGAAGATGAAGAGTTTGAAGATACTTAAAAGCTGAATCTGTTGTGAAACTACTTCTGTAGATGTTGGAAACCAAATGCAGGACATGTGGCATAGCGATGAGCTTTGGTTATTAAGTTAATGGTAAAGAACTAGTGGTCTTGAATAAAAACATTACTTTATACTTTCATTATAACATGACCCATGAATTCTTAAGTATATATATGCTTGGAGTGTGTGTGATCGGTAAAATGAATCCTCCATTGAACAAATCAGCTGAGGTTTCACCTTCAAATAATGTTTGAGTGATTCTGTTGAAGTGGGTTTGTATTGTCATGTATTCATGTGTGAAAGAATATATGGTTAGAGTATATATAGTGTTTTTGTTTAGACATTATATACCAGTCACAATCAAATTTTTATCTCAATGTTGGATTCAAGAGCATCACATTAATGTTTTGAGCTTTATTTACATAAGCATTTTAGTTACTTTAGTAATGTGATTTTAATTATCTGTTTGTGAAAAGGTACATAGCAAGTATATGTTATCATCAGTTTTGGATCATTACATTCTGCATTTGATTTAATCATATTTATACACACTTTCCATGTAAAAAAAAATGTTAAAAATGTCGTCAAGGGTGGGTAGATGTAAAGTAAATAGGAAACATATTTTGCATGCAAAATCATATCTATTAGTTTTTGTTTTTTTCTTACTGCCATAGAAGTCAATCCCCTCCTAGAAATGCACTCAAGTTGAAGAAAACCTATTTTTGAGGTTAATATCATGAATTTCTACTTTGCATTAGGGTATACAGTGAAACTTGGTCCAAGTGCTAACTAGAAAGAATTGCAAGATGGGTAGGTTTCTGATCCCTTTTGGACCAATTTATGCCCAATTGATGAAGTCATATTTTTAGTTCAACGACAGGCAAGAACGATATTGATCTAGAGATTAGTTGGAGGAATTTTGATTTCCTTTAGACTTGTGAAAGGAAATTTGGTCTTTAAACCTATTTAGCAAAGCTCTTCTCTGCTCCTTTCCTAGGGGAAATAAATAAGGTATTTGGAAAGCAAATTAGTAGCTGGGATCTTGGGAAGTTAAGCTAACTAGGTTTGGGACGTTCCAGCAACTCATCTGTTGAGCCTTCTATCTCCACATCTCATAACTATGCAAAGGCTCATGAGAATGACAAACAATGCATAAGCAAACTACAAACTGATCCATTCATTTGGCATAGACTTGTGATTAACCATGGCTTATCATTGTCTTCAATTCTTTGTTTTATCACTTTTGCCAGCCACTTTGTTTTCAATGAACAGAAACAATTTCTTGATTGGGGGCTCGTGGTCTTTTGGAGACAATTGTACCAGAGATTGCTACATTGCCTAAGGTTGAATTGTTGCCATTGCCTGTAATTCCAACTTGGCCAAAACCTGAGGTACCAGAGGTGCTAAAGCTTGAAGTCCCTAAACTACTAGAGATACCAAAACCTCAAGTGCCTGAGCTACCAAAGCCTGAACTCCCCAAATTACTTGAGTTGCCAAAACAAGAATTTCCCAAGCTGCCTGAGATTTCAAAGTCAGAGGTGCTTGAGCTACCAAAACTTGAAGTGCTTGAGAGGGATTACATTGATCTTCTTCACTGCATCTGCTATTCATCGGGAACTCAGTTAAAAAAAAGGGGGTCTGCCAGGCCTAGTAAATGGGCTGCAAAATTGGTTCATTATTTTTACACTCCACAGTCCACTCTCCCCCAACCAAAAAATAATAATAATAAATCTGGCATTGCCCAATAGGCCCAAATCCACCTACATGGGCTAACAAGCCCAAAAACTCTTTTAGAATTAAGCTGTAGCCTTCCTTATCTGCTTTCTCTTCGTTTATCTCTGCCCTCAATTTACTCACTCTTGGCTTCAACGGCGGACATGGCAGTTCCGATCTCTTCCCTTACAAAATCCCCACTTTGTCACCATCATTTCTCCCAATCCCCTCATGTGTCCTTGCCACGCAGCCTCAGACCTCTCCCCAAAGGACTCGGCAATGCAACTTTAACCGCCAAAGCCCAGAGTTTTGGTTTCTTCGAAGGCGGCGGGTTAGGATCGGACGATGACCCGCCTTCTCCTTCGCCTTCACAGACTGGGGACGGGCCGGGCTTAGCTGCCTTAGAAGATAAAGAGGAGCCCCAGTGCCCTCCTGGACTGCGACAGTACGAGACTATGGCGGTTTTGAGACCCAACATGTCAGAAGACCAAAGACTCGCCCTTACACAAAAGTAGGAGGAGGTAATGCTATTATTGCTCGCCCCCCTATTTTCTTTTTCTTTTTATATTTCATGAAATTTAGACTACATATATGCAGTGGAGATGGAGTTAAGCCTTGGGAGGGTCAGGGCAGGATGGTGTAATGTAATGCTAGTATTCAACCTCATTGATTTTGTTATTTAGTTTCAAATTTCAGTTATATTGGAAGATAAACTGTAAGATAAACTTGGCCAACGCTGTTCAAATTGGCAAATACCATAGGCATAAAGGAATGTTGCAAATTAAGTTGAAATTTGTACCTAACTGCATTTCAAAACAAAAAGGGGGGACATTAAATTTTAGTTAAATTAAACTAATTGCTCCCCCATTTTTTTTGGACCCGTTGAGCAATGTAAATTTGTTGAATTGCTTGTTCAAACCATAGAGGCTTTGTCTGTTAAACATTGTAGTGCAATTCTGTTGTAAAGCTAGTAATGGTGATGATGATTTTGCAGGTGCTTGTAGCTGGGGGTGGCATGTATGTGGAGGTACTCAACAGAGGAGTTATCCCTCTATCCTATAGCATCAAGAAGAAAAATAAAGAAGGAGAATGTAACACTTACTTGGATGGCATTTACCTCCTCTTCACCTACTTCACAAAACCCGAGTCAATGGCAGTACTTGAGGAAACACTAAAAGCAGATGATGATGTTATCCGATCATCCAGCTTCAAGGTTAGGAAGAGGAAGTATTAGTTTAGCCTCCCCTGTTCCCGTAAGGATGATGGGTAGCAAAGTAAGAGTTCCTTTTACTTTCTCATTTCATATGTTATGTATACTTTTTCATCCTTAAAAATACTCTGTAACATGCCTTGATCATCAATTGCAATAGAGAGTAAAGGCTGTTACTAGAACTTCTTTACATTGAAGTTTCAACATTACTAATTATTTTCGGGATATTCTGCCAGCCCACACCATCAAAGGGGCATAGGTAGCATCTTCATAGTTTCACATGCTGTGATTTTAAAGGTCCAATGCTCAGAATCAATGCAATCAATGAGCTCAATCAACCACCAAAATAGATTACCTGAGTTGCCAAAGCCTGAACTCCCCAAGTTACCTAAGTTGCCAAAACCAGAATAGCCCAAGCTGCCTGAGATTTCAAAGTCAGAGGTGCCTCAGCTACCAAAACTTGAAGTGCTTGAGATTGCAAAAGCCTGAATTGCCTAAATTGCCAGAGATACCAAAACCTGAAGTTCTTGAGTTGCAAAAACTAGAATTGCCAAAGCTGCCAAAACCTGAAACACCCCAAGTCCCAGAGTTACTAAGGCCTGAAGTACCCAAATCTCTAGAATTGCCAAAACCTGATGTTTCCAAATTACCTGAGCTGCCTAAACCTCATGGTCCTTGAATCTCGAAAACAGCATTTTGTTTCCATCTAGCGTTGTTGTTACGACTAATTACTATCCATTGTATTCTTATTTGAAGAGTATTTCTTTGGTCCATCTGTGTATTATGTAATGAATTAAGCATCTGAACTACCATAATCCTAATATAGATTATGTATACATTCTTATATGATGTACGGAAAGCACATTAGTAGACTTCTTACCTGAACTACTTGCAGATATATATACATATATATAAAGCTAGCTTTTCTTCATCCTTTGTTAGAGTTGTTGTTAGCATTGTAACTCTCCTTAATTAATGTGTAGTTAACATTAATACTTGGTTGGAAGTTGAGATTTGATGTTTAGAGCACAAAGTGCAGTTGGAAGTAAATGGAGCACAAAGGCCTTCAAGTCAGCAAACATACATTAAATGAAATTTTCTGTACTGTTGAGGGGATACTGAGCAATGTAATCCCTCTTTTTATGGAAGCTGCTCTTGTATAAAAAATGAAGAGAAATGAACGAGAGAAAGGCTGGAAAACGAAAATCCAGACCTATATTTTCATCAGTGTCTTTTTCATAATCTGAGTTCTTGTTCTTGAATTTCATTCATCCAAAAATCCATCACTCTCAAAGAAGACAAGACATTTGGAAAGAACATTAGTAGGGTTAAGATGAGAAGTTGAACTAATTAGGTAAGAGGAGGTTCCATAAACCCATCTTTCAAACCCAATTCCCAGCATCTCACGTCTATAAAGCAGACGCGCCGGGAGGAGGAAGCGTTCCTTTCACGCCGGTGGCCAGGTGATATTTTTGTTTTCCTCTTTTTAACGTTGATTTTAATTTGATATATGTATGATCGAAAAACTTTTGTAGAATGCTTTACCTTTCTAAATTATTGCTTAATTTGGTTTTTTAGGTTTAGGGATTATTGCTTCTTCTTTTTTTTTTTAATTTTTTCCCTCGGAACAGTTGAACATTTTTCTCATCCATGAACGTCCACCTTTTTTATGTTACGAATTTTTTTTTAGTAGGATAATTTCTTCTTCTTCTTCTTTTAAAATTTAATTTTTAATTTTTTTAAATTTAAATTTTATTTTTTTCATTACTATTATTTTTTTTATTGATGTTCACTGTAGAACTGATCATAATTCGTTTTGACATAATGTTCTTTTGATATTTTGAGAGAAGGGATTCAAAACTGAGACCCTCTTAGAGGTGTGGCTTTGAGGCTGTCCTCACCTCAGGCCACCTTTCACTATTTCCAAATATTACTGCTTATGTTGATAGTAAGGCATTTTGCTAACTTGATCTTCTGTT